TGGAAAAAAGAATGCAACGTATGTATACCAGTACACATAATAGGCCTAGGCTTACTTACTGTAATAAGAATGAGAAAAATTTACCTGACCGTTTTCAAGAGGGGAAAACCTTTAATTTTGAGGAACTTCAAATTAAAATCATTAAAAGACACTTCAGAAGTCGGGGAAAGCTCATTTCCCGCCGTTTAGAGATCAACATTTTCCCTGGGAGAACCCGAACCCCCCTTTCACTTTGAAGTTCATTGATTCATGGAATCGTTTTCAAGAGGGTGAAGAAAACCTTGAATTTTAATTTTAAAGAATTTAAGTCAGTAAAAGATACCTCAGAAGTCGGGAAAGATCATTTCCCGCCATCTATGAATCAAAATTTTCCAGGGGGAGAACCACCAGACCTCCTTTCTTTCTGGAATTTATCGATTCATGGAAAAAAAGAATGCGAGGCCTAATGCAACTACTAATTTTTTTGCATATGTAGGCCTGTATACACACATAAAATAAGAATAAGAAATTACCTGACCGTTTTCAAGAGGGGAATTATAAGAATTTAAACGTCATTTCGGAAGTCGGTAAAGCTTATTTCCTGCCATCTAGAAATAGAAATTTTCCCAGGTGGGGGGGGGGGGTGTGCCCCAGACCCCCTTTCTCTTTATGGTTCATCGATTTATAAAATCGATTTCAAGAGGAGGAAAACCTTGAATTTTGAAGAACTTTCGTCATTACAAGACACCTCAGAAGTCGGGAAAGCTCATTTCCGCCATCTCTAGAAATCAACTTAATTTTCCCAAGGGGAACCCCGGGCCCCTTATTGCGATTTATTGATTCATGTAAAAAGAGTAGGCATACGTATGGAACTACTCAATTATGTTTATGTAGGCCTATACACACATAAGGGCTAGGCCTATTTACTGTAATAAGAATGAGAAAAAAATCATCCTGACCGTTTTCAAGGAAAAAAAAAGTAGTAGTAGTTCTTCAATTAAAAACCTTTAATTGAAGAACTACGAGCAAACGTGATATATCTACACGATTTTCGAAATGTTAGTGTTATGTCTTTCACCGAAACATGGCTGACAGAGGCTCATGCCGGTAAACATGTAGATATTAAGGGATTTAAAATTATAAGAGGGGACAGAACAGCAGAATCTGGCAAGGACAAAGGAGGTGGTGTTTGTTTATATGTAAACGCTGTCACCCTAACAACGTTATTCGCAAGCTTCATCGATGCACCACAAATTGTGAAACACTCGTCAATGGTTTGAGACCATATTACCTGCCCCGAGAATTTTGGCATGTTATAATCATAACTGTGTATATTCCTCATAGAAATCTTTCGAAAAAAGCATCATGTGAAATATTTGATGTCATCAGTGATATTGAAAATGCTGCCCCCGATAGCTTCATCGTTATTAATGGTGACTTTAACCATTGTTCTTTAAAACGGAGTTCAACATATTTCTACCAACATGTTACATGTTGTACGCAGGGCAATAACATTCTAGATTTATGCTATTCAAATGTGAAATATGCATATGTGTCGTCGGTATTGCCCAACTTGGGATTATAAGATCACAATCTCATAAAACTTTGTCCGAAATACTTACCTCTAGTTCAACGCAGCAAGCCAAAGAAAGTTGCTGTCAAGAAATGGACACACGAGTCAATTGAATGTCTTAAGGGAGCATTCGAGTGCA